TGGCAGGGCTGCCTGCCCCTCTGAGGCCGAGGAACAGGCTGGAACGTGTCTGCCCACGTGTGCGTCAGGCCCCCTCCCCGTGGGTTCTCGGGCGGAGGCGCCCTCGGTTCCTGGCTCGCAGCCTCCGCTGGTGGAGAGCACGTGGCCATGCCGCAGCGAGGTGCTTCTGCGCCCTTGGGGGCTTTCACGGTCTGAGCGCCACCCGAGTGCCGTTGTCTCCCGCGTGCAGCGCCTCCAGGTGCCCGCGCGCCCCCCGCCCTCTTCCGCAGCCTTCCGGTGACGGCCACTTGTGCTTCCCACAGCTTTCAGACCGTCCCGGCGTATGGGAACGTGGTAAAAATACAGCTTCGCTGTTTTGTTTTTCAACAAAGGCAACTGCACTTTTTCTTGCTTTTAAGGCTGAATTAGCGACACTTCTCAGGGACAGATCTTGAGGACACTTGAGGACGGGTCATTTTTCTAGTCTTTGCTTACGGACGGTATCGCGTGACCCACGGTTCCCCGGGCAGGGAACAAAACTAAGAGACACCTTGGTTTTCCGACAAGAGCACGTCACCCTTCTTCCCGTTTCTTGTCTGGAATCACTTTTACACTTTACTGACACGAGCAGGTCCTGTCCAGGCAAGACCCAGTGGAAACGCGAGACATCGTCGGCGGTCCTCAGTGCCGTCCGTTAATTGTAGGGTCGGCAGCATGTGCAGCTACGGACATAGAGACCTTAAAATCTAGTAGGCACCTGTAAGTTTCTGAGACCGAAGGCAAGAAAACCCGGAAGACGAGACCTCTTTGAGCCGGAGAAAGCGGGATTACTGATGCCGAGTGGAGGCCGGCCCTCCCCGCCCCTCCGTCTTGAGAGGTGTCGTCCTGTGCATGTGGCGGCGACGCAAGCACCTCCCCCGGAGGAGGCCGCTTTGGGCACCCGTCGTCCACCTACAGGTGTGAGATTCACCTCGGAGGGGACCCCTGCCCGCAGCGGCAGCACTGGTGCGGAGTCGGGGGGAGATGAGTGAGAGCAAGGTGGCCGAGATCCCAAACTGAAAAACGCGAACACCACTTTATTTCCGTTAGTCCCCCAGACGTTCATCTAGGTCAAGCCCGTGATGCGTCTGCTCGGGGCCCTCGGTCACGTCATCTGGCTTTGAGTGGAGCGGCTGTGGAATCTGCCGTCCAGACCGGGACTTGTGGACGGTACAAGAGGGAGAATTTTAGGGCCAGGTTGGGACGTCAGGGGTTGGGTGCCCTGGGCCCCCGGCCTGGCACCGAGGGGCGTCCGGGGACGGGGGGAGCCCGGCCCGTGCTCTTCCTGCCCCGCTGGGGAGCCCGTCATCCTACAGTGTACGTGTTTGCTCGGCGCCTGTGTGGCAGTTGCAACACGGGAGTTCGTGGTCTGGTAAACGTGGTTGTGGACTTCTCGGGAGAGTGGTTTTGGCAGCAGGCGTCGCACCGCCGTGGCTACCCGCGGGTTTTCCACGTCGACTTCCTCTTTGCAAGTTCGCGGGCTCGTGTGTCACATCCCTGCTCTGTGTCTTTAGGAATCCTGGGTGCTGTTGATCAGGGAGCTTGGAAGAATGGATCGTTCTTCACGTGCCCGAAGTCACCCGAGCGCTTCGGGCATCGAGCACGTGCCCAGAAGCACAAGTAACCCAGTGTGCGAGTTTCCTCACGTTGGTGAAGGCGGACTGTGGGCACAGACGAGTCGCCTGAGGACCCTGGGGTGGGGGGTGGGGTGGAGGGTGTGAGTGCAGGTTTCCCAGCCTCGGGAGGGCAGCGCGAGGGGGGTGTGGAGCCGTGCCTCTCGGCCCCACCTACCCACAGGCCCTGGCTCAGCATCCCTGGCAACTCCATCTCTCTGCCTCTGGCTTTCACGTCCAGAGCGTGGAAGCAGCCGTCAGGGGAGGAAAGGACTCTCGCGAGGTGGCTCTGGGACTAATTAAAACTTGTCCCGTTGTACCCCCCTGGGGGCCAGCCCTGACCCACACGCCCCTCGTGGCCCGGTGTTGCTGTGCGTGCACGTCCACCGGGAGCGCACGGGAGGAGGTCGGCTGCTCTGGCCCCGGCCCGGGACTGGCACGGCCACTGGGAAAAGCTGGGCCTCTGGGCCGGTAGGACGAGCCCAGCCCCCCAGGTGAGCAGGAGCACTGCCCCGTGCCGAGCTGTCCCGCTGGGCGGCCCGCTCCTTAATCGGCTTCTAGACTCTCTCGGACCCGGAGCGGTGGTCTCGGTGGGATCCGCCGGGATACCCCGGGTGTGCAGTCTGGTTTTCACACCTGTGGTAGCAGGGGCCGGACGTGTGAGGAGGGGACACGAGCCAGTCACCTGTGCGGGAGCCCCTGGGCACAAAACCACTGTTGCTTTCACTGGGCCACACACACTTCCCTAATCCCCTCCCGGGGCGGCACGTGCGTGTGTAAGCTGCGGTCCGAGGTACCGTTTGGTGTCGTGCAGTTACCGGAACGTACAAAAGGCTGTGGTCTTTACGAAGAGGTGCAAACAGTTAGAAAACACATGTCCCACATGGAGGGTTCTGAGCTGCAAGGAGCAGGAATCTTTATTTGGTTCACTTCAGGTCTGCAGCAACCACTCGATATTAAAAAAGAACGGAGAGTAAGATGTACAAAAGATGTGACATCCCTTTAGAAAGTAACGTTACCAGAAACGCATTTCTTACAGACCCTCCCTCTCCTGTGCCCCACTCCCCAAAAAGACCCCAAACTAAGCCAAACTGTGAGAAGAAATGGGGAGAGAATGGAGAACGGAAAAAATAAAACTGGATTTTACTGGAACATGCTCTAATCTTTAGTTTATTTCTGGTTAAAAATATAGCAATCCAGTGCAGTGTAGTAAAGAAATCTGCTTGAAAGGTAGCAGAGAAACAGCTAAACATAAGCAAAGCAAGGCAGAGTCCATAGCCGGGCTGTGCCCAGGACGGCTGTGGAAGCTCACGGTCAGGGCCGTCCCGGGCGTGAGCGCAGGGACCGGGGTATGGACGTGGCCATGCCCCACAGACACGTCCATACGCCCTGGCCAGGGCTGGCTCCAGCGCTAGGACCACGGGGCGCCCGCACATTCTTGTTCTCTCGTTTGGATGATGGTGCAACATTGGTCGAGAAGGCAGAGTTGTGTCTTTTGGGGGAGAGGGGGGCAGCAGCGAGTGCTCAGGGGTTTTGAAGCCACTGGGTTTCACCCACATTCCTGTCCTGGGCCCAGACCAGCTCCGGAGTATGAACGAGGCATCTGGAAAGAGTGTGCATATCTGTGGGGGAAGTGGAGGCCGGCACAGGACAAAGACGTGAAAACCCATGTGCCCGGGGACCGCGAGAGGGAATGATGTCGCCGCGGGCCAGGTCACTGCCACGGACGTCTGACAGGGACAGGGGAGCCGGGATACACATCCTGCATGCCAAGTGGAGAAAGGCCACACACTCGGAGCCGGGCGTGGCAGCTAGGTGGCCCCACGGCACTCCCTGCCCTCTGTCCCGTCCACACCACTGCTGCTGGGGGTGTGGGACAAAGGGGGGAGTGGTGGGGGAGGGGGCAGACCGTGGGGAAGGAGGACCTTGCTTTCAGACTCCATGGGGAGAGGCGGCAGATCCCTGCTTCCTCAGGTACACGGCACAGACTCAAAACAGGAAGCGGCCTCGACCGCTGCCTGCTGGGAAGGCGCGCC